GTGCACCCATGTCGTGCAATGCTGCAGAGGTCAGAAAAGAGCATCGGATTCCCTGGAACTGGAGTTAAGGACAGTTTGTAGTCGCCATGTGGGTGCTGGGAATAGAACCCGGGTCCTCTGCAAGAGCAGTCAGTGCTCTTAACTGCTAAGCCATCTCTCCAGCCCCATAACTATGTTTTTGGTATATGAAATTCTCTACACAGAATAAGTTTGTTTGTGTGTATTGATTCTTGTCAGAGTTGAATTTCTTCCCACTGTCTATATGCATGTAAGGGGAGACGTAGGACATAAACTTTGTTTCCCATGGTTTTTCCTCACCATTTTCCTTTGGGGTTTGTTGACATCTTCCCCTTTACTACTTTAGAAGTCATGCATTTCATGTTTCATGGGAGGCCTGTCAGAAACGTAGATCCTAGCCTGCTACTGTTGAGATTTGACAGTGAGAACAGCTGGAGAAAGGCTAGAGTTGGGCATCTTCCAGGATTGCACTTTGAACCTGACCTCACTACCTGTGCCTTTATCAGAATCACAGAGCTGTACATGCATGGGGACCTTACCAGTGTGGTCTCTTGAAGCTTCTAGCATCTTTTGTACTGTTACTCTGAGCTACTCTGATATCTGTAACTGTTGCTTCTTTTCATGTCTGGTGCTCTTCCTTAGGCTTAAGGGAATGACTCTAGATAGGCTGACTAGACCCCAGGACATGAACTTGCACTGAAGGATGTCTGGGAACACTAACTTGACTCAGTAGGCCTTAATATGAATAACAATACATGAAATTCAGCTGGGGAGCTATGAGAGGGTGCTGGTGGGGAAGGGGGTATAAAGATGATTAAGATATTGTGTATGAAATACCTGGAAATTCAATAAAAAATATACCAAAAAAGAATTGAACAGCCACACACTTTTCCCATCTCATACAAAGGTGCAAGAGTTCATCCTTTAAAACTTGGTTTTTAGATTAACAAATATAACTTATATGCAGAGATTCCTTATAATGTTAACAGATACAAAGCATATCCCTGCCTGGGCTTAATAGTAAAAGCCCTTAGTTCCAGTGCCCTTAAGGGATAGGAGGATTACACTTTGAAACTGGCCTGGGCAACCTAGCAAGTCTCAAAGCTTAAATACATATCTGAAAACCCCCAAACCTAGGGCTCTGTGAAAACTTGCTTAAATTACTTGCTTTTTTTTTTTTTTTTTTTTTTTTTTTTTTTTTTTTAGACCCTGTCTTTTTTGAGACAGGGTCTCCCTGTAGGCCCAGCTGTCCTGGAACTCACTATGTAGACCAGGCTGGCCTTGAACTCTCAGAGAACCGCCTGCCTCTGCCTCCCAAGTGCTGGGATTAAAGGCGTGTGCCCCCCCGCCCAGCTTTTTTTTTTTTTTAAAAAAACAAAAACACCCCCCAAAAAGGGCATTTCCTTTTTTTTTTTTTTTTTGAGGCACCTGATGCTGTCTGGCTAATGTGATTAACCAAATTTTGCTTCAGAGTTGAGTCTTTGACTTTTCATTTTAGGTTGTAGGTGTTACAGTAATAGTAAAAGTGAAGTTTGAGGCTCAAACTTTCATTCCTTCTCCAAATTTATTTGTTTGCTTTTCCCCTCTTACTTAGGAAAGCCACTGCATGGTACAAAAAAAATCTACTTAAATATATCCATAATCTTTCTTTTAAATTGTGCTCTTCCCTGATGGTGTAAAGAAAAAATGCCCAAGTCAGAGCTCTTTGTCGCTAGGTAAACTTGAAGCAGCAATGCCTTCAGTGCTTTGATTATAACCCATAACCTTCCAAAGAGTTTAAATCCACCTTAGATTGTGTTGATTATAGGATTAATTCAGAATCTTTCTAATTCTTCATCCGTTCTTTCCTATTTTCCTTCTGATCTTAGGAAAACCCATAGGGCTTTTTAAATAGCATGCATAAAACAGTAAGATTAAAATACAAAATTATATTAGGTTATTGACTTTGTAGTGTTTTTTTCTAAGGAAATCTCCTTATATAAATGAGCATAAAATATTTGCTAAACATTTTTTTTTCAAACTAATGATTGTATTATTCAATTGGAGTAATACAAATGCCTTGTTTTTGTTACCTTCTAGCCCAGCAGAAGAACTGTATTTTGGAAGTATGGAATCTGGAGAGAAGAAAACTCTAATAGTGTTAACAAATGTAACTAAAAATGTAGTGGCATTTAAGGTAAAAAAAATCTTAGAGATGTAATAAACTGTGATTGTGATATGGGAAGTGATTTGAGACATTCAGATTGAAAGAGTTATCAAACAATGAACAGTCTTGTGTGGAGACTGAACCTTCACCATGTTTTCTGTGAATTTTAGCTGTGTTGTACCACCCTCTAGTATCCAAGGGGCACAGCTTGTTTAAAACTTTCCCTGGGATCCGTAGCCCACTTTAATGCACACAAATTACTGCACAAACAGTCCTGAGGTTTAACATTTATTGTAAGTGAAAGACCAAGAAAGGGCATTCTTCATTATATGAATAATTTACCACAATTCTGAATGGTAGAATAATAGAAAAACCAAAAGTGAGTTTTCCCTCACATATGCTATAACCTGGAGTGGAGCTTCTTTTGGATACTAATGTGCTACTGAATAGTAAGTGTGCTAACACTAAGTTAACCATCAGCACTACTGTAGACATTGTTTTCTTAATTATCCCACTTAATTGAGATGTGACCACTAGGGTGTTGTGGACATGCCTTGATTATCCATTGTTCTTAATTTCTGAATGCTATTGTAAAACATGATCTAATGTATACTATTTTACAAATTTGCATAATTAAATTTAAGCTATAAGTGGGCAAGATAAATATTAATCGATCGTTACTTAAGAAGAAATCTAGGGGCTGGGGAGCTAGTGCAGTCAGTAAAGGACCTGAGTTAAATCCTCAGAGTCTACATCAAAGAAGCCAGATGTGCTAGCACATGTTTGTAATTCCAGCACTGGGAAGTCAAAGATGAGTAGATCCCTGGGGTTTGCTGGCCAGCTAACCTAGTCTACTTGGGGAATTTCAGGATCATTGAGCTATCCTATCTCAAAAGGTAGATACTGCCTGAGGAATGAGACCTGAAGGTTATGTGCACACATTCAATCGCATACACACAAAAAGGGAAGCAGAGCGACAGTAGAACTGCAGAGTATTTTTAGACAAGTCACAATGATTTTATCCTGTTAGGACAAAAAAAAAAGTTCTGTGCATAATGACCAAGGTTGTTTTGTAGACTTTATTCATCAATTATTAACTGCTCTCTCTTTAAATTCATTCTTAAGCCATGCCTGCAAAGAAGCAGAACATAGCTTGTTACCACACAGGTTAAGTAGTCATTGTGTTTCTAAACAGGTGAGAACAACGGCTCCAGAAAAATATAGAGTAAAGCCAAGCAACAGCAGCTGTGATCCTGGGGCATCAGTTGATATAGTTGTGTCTCCACATGGTGGTGAGTTGTCATTTGGCATTTGGAGACCACAGCAGGTGTGACTGGAGGGGACCTGGGTCTGTCACTGGTTCTGAGGAGTTTGGGGGCTAAATATAGAAATTAGCAGAAGATCAGCAAATCACCTTACCTCACTTTAAAGGCATGTGTTTCTCGTATGTGAAATAAAGTAGTCCAGAGGGTCCAAAGCCTTTTCTCACAGTAAAATGTTATTATTTTAAAATGAATAAAATTAAAGTGATGACAGTTGAAATGTAATTTAAATAGCAACAAATTTCTCTTGTTTACAGATTGCTTCCATTTTTAATTTTTTTTCCTATTTTTTCCTTAATGTATTCTAGAATAATGCTTTAAACCACATATCCAGCCCCTTGTGAAGATTCCTGATTATATGTTAAATTCCTCTTTTGGAATGCAGGCTTAACAGTGTCTGCCCAAGACCGATTTCTGATAATGGCTGCCGAAATGGAGCTCTCATCTGGCACAGGCCCAGCAGAATTGACTCAGTTCTGGAAAGAAGTTCCAAGAAGCAAAGTCATGGAACATAGGTAAGCAATCTGCTCTCCGATGTGGAAGAATCAGAAGACAAGCACAACTGATGGGTGAGACACTGTCACTTCCTTGCTTACATCTTTGCATCCTGGAGACTGAGGATGACCAGATCAATGACCAAGAGCTGCTCAAGGACTCACTAATACAGAAACACTGAAGCAGACCCACATGGGTCTAAGTCTTACAGATGACGTGAACACATCTCTAACCTTCACATTGTTCCCCTTTTAGGAATGCTCACCTTGCTTACTAAACTGTGGCAGTATCATTTGTTATAGTAAAAAAAAAAAAAGAAAAAAAAAAAAAGTAAGACAGAACTAAAAGGTCACTAGTAAAGCCTAGGGAAATAGAATGGAATATTTGTTTCTACATGGAAGAGTACTCTGCAGCCATTTGAAAAAAGTCCAGTGAGGGGCTGCAGAGATGCGTCAGTGGTTAGGATCACTCAATGCTTTTACAGAGGACCTGGATTCAAATCCCAGCACCCACTTGGCAACTAACAACCATCTGTAACTCCAGTTCTAGGGAATCTGACGCCCTCTTCTGACCTCTTCAGACATTGCACTACATGGGTGCACTTACATACATGTAGGCAATACACTCATACACATAAAATAAAAATTATAAATAATATTTAGAAAAAGTCCAATGAAGCTCTTCTGACTTGAAGAAACTATATATTAAAAAAGAAAGTAATCACAGAAACATGTATGCATTGTCCTATTTAAAAGAGACAAAGTTTGTATGTATGTGTGTATATGTGGGTATGTGTGTGTATATAGTATGTGAGCACGTGTATGTCAGTTGTAACAGATGTCTTGAAATACATATGGGAAAGAAAAGGAAAAGAGAGATACCTGTTTTTCTAGTTTTGTTTTTTCTTGCTCCTTTTTTTTAGTTGGGATTACAATTTGTTGGTGTAATATCAGTCTTGCCCTTCAAGACATTTGCCAACATCTAGAGACATCTGTGTTGTGTACAACTGTGGATGGGGTACACCAGGTATCTAGCAGATGCTGCTAAACCTCCCAGAGTGTATATGATGGCTGCTATTTTGTAAAAATCATGAGTCCCCCAAACCATTAGTACTGTGGTAGAAAAACCTTGTTTTATAGGGTAGTTGAGGATGACCACGCTGGTAAACTTTGACTAGGAAGTAAAAGAAGTCACAAGGTAACTGATTTTAACTGGACAAAGAGCTTTGTGGGGTAGGGAAGAACAAGTAAAAGAAAAAGAAATGTGCTTGGTTTGTGTAAGAAATAGCAAGGAAGTCAGTGTCCCTTGATGGACTGGGGAGGCAAGGCCATGGCCAAGAGACAGGGACAGCTAGCAAGGCACTAGATTTCTGCTGGGGAGGACTGAGTTTGAGAGACTGAGTTAGACACAGCCTGGAGGAGTATTTTGTGGTCAAATGGAAGAGGATAGGCCAGGTCCGTCAGGTCTTTAAACCCCAGGGAAGAAAGGGCATCACAAAGTAGAAGTTGAACAGTGGCACTACACACTACCATGCAGATAAAGAAGGATAAGGAATGGGCAGTTCCCATTGATAGACACATTACAGAAGGTATTGATGGCTTGAAGAGCCCAGGAGCTGGGGGAGGCAGGAGCTACATACGTCAGCCTGTGCTAAAGAGATTGGTGGAGGCAGCTAGGCTAGGCTAGAGGTTTGGCAGGTTCGAGAGAGACTGCCATAGTATTTGAAAGGAGGAATATGAAGCTGATGAAAGGGTTCTTGGTGTTGGCTTTTTGTTGTGCTGGGTTGGGGATATTTTGGTTTTTTTGTTTTTGAGACAAGGTCTCACTATGTGGCTGAGGTTAGCCTTGAACTTGAGACAATCTTCCTTGGTCATCGTTCCAAGTGCTCCCTACCATGCCTGGTCTGCCTTGAGGTTTCTAATATGAGAAATTTGAGCACTGCTTAAACAAAAACACAGACTCAGGGTGGGGGGGATAACTCAGTGCAAGAGGAGCACCTGCCTCGGCTGTGTGTGACCCTGAGTTCCATCCCAGTGCTGCCAAACAAACAAAGAACAAGGGGCCATGCCAGGGCACAGCTATAACTGCAGCATGAGCCTGGCACAGCAGGGAGGTGGAGAGCATGACCTACATGGGAGAGGTAATTTGCTGCTGCTGCTGCTGCTGCTGCTGCTGCTGTTTTCTTTGTTTTTAAAAAACGTTTCAATGATCATTGGAGGAATTGATGCAAGACAGCAGTTCTGAGAACGCTCAAAGAGGTCAGAGCTGGGATTTGCTCAGACAGGGCAGGGAGAATACAGGTGGAGGGCAGGCTCCAAGCGGAGGTTCTACCTGGGTTTTACAGGAAATAATTGCACATTTAAATGTTTAAAGTCTATTACAAAACTACATTCTGATAGGTTTGGTTGATTTTATTTTCATTTGGTTTAAAAGCCTGGATTTTGCTGTTGACCTGGGGCTCAGGGTCCTCCTGCACTGTCCATCTTTACTGAGTTTTTCTGGAATTATTTCTGGTTAAAGTCATGGGAAATAATTTAAATGTTAAGATAGACTGATTTTTAAAAGCATTAAAGATTAATTCCAAGTTCTTTTAAAATACTCTCAAAATGAGAGGTCTTAGTCTGGTTAAGTGTACATTGCTTCATTTGCTTTCCTTTGGGTTTTGCCAGTTCCTAATGGCTGAGTTTTCTGTTACTATCTAAAGGGAATCATTGTTCTCTCCTAGAAAATGGGAGAGGTCCCAGTGGTTTGGTAGTAAAAACCCAAATAAAACACCATCTTCTTTCCTAGAAAGGGTGACTGTCTTCAAGTTGAAAAAGATTTGGATAAATTTTACTGAACACCATATATTAGATTTTTGGAAAGTAAAAGGAAAGATAGAGGAGTAGGAGATAAGAAACCAGAGTCAGACCTGCAAGAGGCAAGGAATAGATCTTCCTTTATTCAAAGAACATATAGTGAGAAGTACAGGCTGTCTGTGGGAACCAAGCTTCTACAACTAGACAAAGAAACGGGGGAGGGGGGTGATTTATAGGAAAGTTGTGAGACACAGCTGCACTCTGTGGGGAGTTGAATTAGTGCCCAGGTTTGGTGTCCTTGAGAGTCTCTTTTCTCAGACAGGTGGGTGAGTTATCTATAGCACTAAAGGTGGGCTCCACAAACAGTCTCTCTTAGTCCCAGGAGTGACCAGTTGATAAGGCTTGAGCAAGGCCAGGCTTGAGCAAGGCCAGGCTGCCAATTTAGAGCCACTTTGACATGTTAAGGGATTTATGGCTTTCCCTAATGAGGCTTGTCTCTGTTCTGCAATTCACACATTTCCATCATTCCAGACCCTGGGGGAATATTAAAAAAAAAAAAAAGGAGAGGGCAGGGAGTAGAATGGAAAGAGGGGCACATTGCTTTGGGGGAAATAAGAAGATACAGGTACAGCGAGGAAAAACCAGATTAAGTCCTGGGTATGAGACATAAAGTTTCCTTAAAGTCACAGTTTTTGTGTCAGTAAGGGAATCCCAATTGGTGACAGGTCCAGGCATCAATCAGAGGTTGCTTTGAAGATCCCTCAGCAGACTGAAGAGAGGAGTAAGTCAGTGAAGGTGGCACAGCTTCTCCACAGCGGGCCAGCAGGCTGTTCGTCTCTGGGAACTTTTGATTTCTGAGTTCTCAGGTAGCACAGAGTGGGAGCATAGACTTAATTTGGTCTCAGGTAGAGGATTGGGCAGTCGTATAGGCTGCTTGGTCAGGAGATTCTGTAAGAATTTTTGGAGACAATAGTTAACTAAGCATAGTGTAAGGAAGGGATGGGAAAATGAGCTGGCCAGTCCAGTCCTCATCTGGGAATGAACTTGTCATTATTCCTTTGGGGTCTCTACCCTAACTCCTTCTTCTGGAGAGGTAACCCTAGGTGCCAATAGGGAATTTGGATGTCGAGTCATTCTGGCTTCTTCTGTGCTGAACAGGGGTGAAGAGTGTGGCAACAGGGTCCCCCTTCAGTGGATATATATATATACAAAGCATATAACTGTTAGTCCTTGACTGGTGTCTGGGAGGAGATATGAAGGAGAAGTAAAACAAGAGTAGTTAGGCACGTATTTTAGGTAGGGAACCAGGAGAAATAAATGTCCACATTAAAGTTCATTAGAGTTTCTTGATGGGGGCTTCCAAGAGCATCCATTCACTGGGCCATTTTCTTTTCCTGGATGTCACAGCTGGACTCAGGATTTGTTTTTTAGGTACTTTGATAGCTGTTGAAATGGCTAGAATCATATTGTGAGCTTCCTCCCAGGTGGCTTCTATAGGCAGGGAGAGAGAAGAAATTTAGTTATTATTTAATTTTGATAAGAACAATAGTGGACCTGTCCCCCTTGGCTGCAGGTGGCACAAAATTTTACTGGGAATTTGTAAATAATATTTTATATGAACTTTTAAGTTTAATGTTTGGGAAGCATAATTTTATGGACTTCAAAAGAAATATACTGATTATTTTAATTTTTGGTTATACTTTCCTTTGGAGTGTTTAAGACCGTATAACTTGCCCAAATTAAACTAAGTTTTTGTTTTATTGTGAAGGTCAGTTGAGGCTGCGGCCCTCGGGGGTCACTCGGGCTTTTGGGGGAGCCCCTGGTAGGATCCTTTGGCTTTCCTTTTACCAGTTCCATCTGTGTGGGGATAAGTCAGGAGGTCCTGTTCGACTCTGGCTTTGCTTGGAAGCATGGAAGAAACATTTTCCTGTGTTGACCCTCTTCCTTGTAGACTAGACACTGGCCTGAGTCTCTCTAATGGGGTCTCCATGACCTCCCTGAACAAGAGGACAGGTGACCTACCACAGTTACAGGACGTTTTGAGAGATGCCCCATATTCCCTTGGGACTTAGTTGACCTTGGAAGGCAAGGAACAAAACTGTCCCTTAAACCCCTTTGACCGGATGAGTATAGGCCTCTAAGTATGGGTTTTAAACATCCAAGAAGGTTAGTTGCACCAGTCTGGTACCTTTAATTACTGTGTAATCTGAGGATAAAACTTGAACAAAAACTTAAACATTTTAAATAAACAGTGAGTAGAAAAGATTTAACATTATAGATCAAGTAGGCATAGCCCAGGAAAGGGATTCAAATTAATTCCCTCAGGTCTGTCTCCAGACCCTGAAGACATAAAAAAAGAAAAAGAAAAGAAGAAAAAAGGTGTAGTTTTTATATGGCTGTTTTTGTTTATGGGTGAAGTGAGGGTGGGGTGGGTCATATAACATACCTATAGGCAGGAAATAACTGATCTGGATTTAGATCAAACTCATGGAATGAAATTGTTTTCTTTTGGACTGTACCATTTGGTTCTGGGAGGTAAATCCTAGTTTTTATGAGCCAAATTATTTTGTTATGGGTGAAGGAAAATACCAAAAGTAACACTTGTATAATACAGAGAAACATAAAAGGACATTTTTTTAGTAGTTACAGGTAACTCCAGTACTTGTTTGTATCCATTTAATTCCAGACTGTGACTAGGTATGTAGCACAAGTCAGAGAAGTAGACTGAAAAATTTTTTTTTGCTGTAACAGTAGTTATTATATCAACAACAACAACCTTGTATTTCTATAAATTTACTCAGACCTTTAACAAACTTGCTTAAACATTTTCATTATTCTTTCCAATCTGGAAATATCCAGCCATTTTAACCTTACTAACTTTGACCTTCCAACTCTCTTTTCTTAAACATTTTTATTAAATTTTTGATACCCCGAGACATAACATTATTTGTTGTGAGAATCCATCAAATAACCAATATTTAGTCCCTCATACCTATAGATAGACAAACAACTATTTTAAACATATGAGTACAATATAAGCTTGGTAAAGGTATGGACCTTGATGTATCTGTTTATTGGCTATAAAGACTCAATAGTGGTAAAATGGTTAATATTTTTCCTGTAATAGAAGCACTTATTACTTAAAATTAGTATATTTTTAAGCAATGATAAACAATATAGAAGAAGAATTAAGTATTAAAGAAAAAACATTTTGACCTGGAAAAAATATTTTAAGTTAATTTAACAACTTTAGTTCGTATGAGGCTTTATTTTAAGTTAATTTGACAGCAAGTAAATTATTTTTAAGAAACATGAATTTATGTAGACCGTGTACAAACAAAATGGACACCTTAAGAACTTTTGAGAATAAACCAGAACCAAAAAAATACTTAATAAATTGGATTTTTACATAACCAGAGACCTAGAGACACTATTTAATAGATTTAAAATTGATTAGGTACCCAAGTGTAAAAGGCCTTTGAATGTAAATTTGTAACAGTGTATTTTAATGAGGCATGCCAAAAATAAAACCAATAATTTTGTGCACAATAAAAAGAATAAAAAAAGAAAAAATATTGAAGTGGACACAGTTTGAAATTATCTTGA